CCTCCACCACACTGACACCAATGATGGGGCACTATTCCTCCCACTGACACCAATGATGGGGCACTATTCCTCCCACTGACACCAATGATGGGGCACTATTCCTCCCACTGATACCAATGATGGGGCACTATTCCTCCCACTGACACCAATGATGGGGCACTATTCCTCCCACTGACACCAATGATGAGGCACTATTCCTCCCAATGACACCCACAATGGGGCACTATTCCCCACTGACACCCACAATGGGGCACTATTCCTCCCACTGACACCCACAATAAGGCACTATTCCTCCCACTGACACCCACAATGGGGCACTATTCCTCCCACTGATACCAATGATGGGGCACTATTCCTCCCACTGACACCAATGATGGGGCACTATTCCTCCCACTGACACCAATGATGGGGCACTATTCCTCCAATGACACCCACAATGGGGCACTATTCCTCCCACTGACACCCACAATGGGGCACTATTCCTCCCACTGACACCCACAATGGGGCACTATTCATCCCACTGACACCAATGATGGGGCACTATTCCTCCCAGTGACACCAATGATGGGGCACTATTCCTCCCACTGACACCAATGATGGGGCACTATTCCTCCCACTGATACCAATGATGGGGCACTATTCCTCCCACTGACACCAATGATGGGACACTATTCCTCCCACTGATACCAATGATGGGGCACTATTCCTCCAACTGACACCAACGATGGGACACTATTCATCCCACTGATACCAATGATGGGACACTATTCATCCCACTGACATCAGTGATGGGGCGCTAGTCCTCACACTGCAAAATTACAGTTATGAAGTAGCAACAAAAATAATTTTATGGTTGGGGGTCACCACAACATGAGGAACTGTATTAAGGGGTCACGGCATTAGAAAGGTTGAGAACCACTGCTCTAGGAGCTATCTGCCATACAGCATCCTCAGGTGGGTCCTCAGCGAGGGAGGTAAAAGATTCTTCTCCAGGCTAGGACTTCAGGACAGTGCTCTCCAGCAAAAACCCATTAGTAGTTTCCTCCAGATCCTCAGCTCAGCACCTGCTGAGGCCCAGACTACAATGGCTTGACTCACTATAGCTGTCTCCCAGGGACAACAGCCCCAGGAGAAATATAATCTTCCCTGAAGAGGAAAGTGCACTCTGGAAAGGCCTCCCAAACATTTATCGCTTCCCCAGCCACCTTTCAGACACCTCCTTCCAGGGATTGACTAATGCATGATAAATATTCATACTTAATAACACACATTTGACCCTCCCTGCTCTGTATTCTGGAAGCCTCTCCCAGACAGGGGCGTATTTACCACAAGGCAAACAAGGCATTTGCCTAGGGCGGCATTTTTTAGGGGGACAGCACTGATAGGGAATATGCTGCGTGGGATCCGAGAGAGGTGGCGGGCTGCTTGATGGTGTGTGCAGAGCGTAATTGTCGTTCCAGGGGATGTCCAGAGCTGTGAAGGTTAATGTCTTTCTCTCTGTCGCTGGGGTGCTGCGGTGTGTTTTTAGCGGAAGGCTCTCTCGAGTGGTGGGGGCTGGTGTTGGTCAGTGTCAGGCTCTCTCCGCCGGGGAGGGCGACTGATTTTTGTGTTGCCTAGGGCAGCAAAAAAAAAAAAAAATACACAACTGCTCCCAGAAGCAGGTGTGAGAAATCAAAAACCCAGCTAGGAAACCCAGACCTGACAAAAACAATACATTACTGCTCCACTGAATGTAGTGACACCAAAAACTAAATTTTATCCTAGCAGTCTAATTAGAGAACATAGAATTGGAGATCTGCTTACCCGACACTTTGCTCCTCCACTCTGTTAGACTGGTTCCCCCAGCAACTGCCTCCTATGTTCCAGCAGTCTAAGGTTTTGATGTCATCAAGATGAATGCAGAGTCCACAAGCCTGCACTAGACATGATGACACCAAAGGACAATCCACTGCCGGAGAATAGAGGAGCATCATTTGCTGGGGGAGCAGAGGATTGAGTGAGTAAAATGCTTTTACTCTCCCCTAGAAAAAGGAGCAGTTAATCCTTGCAGTGTGGCCATAGCCCCCCTGCAAGGAAGGATTTTCAGATTTCCCGGAGTTGGTGGCCTTTAATGGTTAGATCTGGAAAAAGCCAGCTTGACTAATTAATAAAACTGCATAACTGTTCAAAAAAGATCAGTTAAAAAAAAAAAAGATCTCAGGGACTTAGTGTAGACTCTAAGCCTTTCCATCCTCAAATCAAGCAGGTACCAAAAGCGGCAGTCTATTAGTAAAAAACAAAATATCTGCAGTAGCAATAAAAGTAACCATCAGGATATTTTGTGTGAATACATAACTGTTAAAGCGGAGCTCCACCCAAAAGGGCAAGTTCCATTTTAATGCATTGTCCCCCGCTCCTCATTAAGGATTGGCACCTTTGGGGAGAAGATACCCGAATTTGACAGGCACCGGCTCCCACGATCTCCTAAGGCAATTGGAAACGGAAGTTGTCCTCCCCCCCCTCCCTCCCCATAGTCTTATGGGACACGTGACAGGTCCCAGAAGACTACTGGACCATTCACAAAGAGCAGTGCTACTTGCGCATGCGCAGTGGGCACCCGGCTATGAATCCACAAGCTGTCACAGCCAGATGCCCACACTGAAGATGTTGGCGCCAGGGAGAGAAGATGGCCAGTGAAACCAGCCATGGTGAGGACATTGCTGGACCAAGGGACAGGTAAGTGGCTGTAGATTAAAAGACAGCAGCTACAGTTTTTGTAGCTGCTGACTTTTTTTTTTTTTTTTTTTTTTCAAATCAGCTGGAATTTCGCTTTAACCTCCCTAAGATCAGCCGTAGTAATTTATATTGGAATTCTAGGTTACACTTAACTAGCCTTAAAACTGTCCCCTTCCCACTCCTAACACCCATGCTAACTAACCTGTGTAAGATATATATATATATATATATATATATATATATATACTTTGCTATTTGTAGCCTGTTCTTGTCCAGTCAGGTAATCCCACTCCCCTGTGTCTGTCAACATGGCTTCAGGGGAGAGGAGGAGGGAGTACCAAAAACAGATAGGACCATTGAAGCCTATGGGTGAAGTCACCTGCCAAGGCATTATACCAGTTCAATTTGCCTAAACAGCCTCCCTAATGGGGCCCCCTTCTATTCCCGGGCCCCATAGCAGCCTGGACTGCTATGGCTATAGTTACACCACTGCTTGTATGCGTTGTCAGATAACAGGGATCCCCAAAGCCTGGGAACTTTATTGTGCAAATAGTAGCTTCAGTTTCTGACTTTCTGTTGACTCACACCCCTCACACCTTCCGTGTACTTATTGCATATCCTTGTAATGAACAGAGAGGTGCAGGAGGCAGTGAGACTAAAGATACTATTTGCATCTTAGCACTCCCTGAGTTTTTGTGCCTTGGGGGGGGGGGGGTGTATACAGTGTATATAACTATACAGCTATAGGTGTCCACCATGCATGGCTGCCTGCAGATTATAGGACTTGAATGCATAGTCAAGTTGTGCAAAACGTTAACAAATGCAAAAAGGAAAAAAATATGCATTTTTTTAATTTTTTTGCATGGTCTAGCAAAACAATGCATTCATAATCAGTGCAACGTGGTTCCTTCAAGCTCTTCCTCCAGTCCCAGGGCCATACGGAGATACAGACCTGGCGCTGGAGGTAACACTGGACTACAAGGGCGGTGATGTAAGGGGGAATATATATAAATGGATCAATTCAATCAATTATCACTTTTCTACTGTCAAAAGATTTCTTACAATTAAAAAGTGCATGCACAGTTGTCATTGGCCTGGTTGAGTCTCATTCCCTGTTGCACACACAATATCTGGATTTCCCATACTTCAATAGAAAATCAGGTCTTAGTAACATTGACACTAATGACATTGAGTGACACCGATAACTTCTAAATATTAGTTACCGTCAAATAGTGAATCATTGATTTTTATAGTGATTGTTATATAGGCTAGCTGTCTTTGATCCTTTTATGCACCGCATTCACAACTGAAATGTGTTCACTTCTCTGTAAGTGAAGGTTTTAGAATAAATTGTGTACCCCATCCTTCGCCCATCTCTAATAATTCCTATGAAAAATGATGGTGACAGCCACTGGAATCCAGGTCATTGTAGGCATGCAAGTTCTAATTGCAATTTTGAAGCAGGGACTGTGGAGTATAATCATATCGCACCTATATATTTATATAATGATAAAAAACATTATAATACCATGTTATAAAGCAGTGTTTCTCAACCTTTTTTCTGTCAAGGCACCCTTTAAAATTATGGACAGTCCCAAGGCACCCTTTAAAATTATGGACAGTCCCAAGGCACCCTTTAAAATTATGGACAGTCGCAAGGCACCCTTTAAAATTATGGACAGTCCCAAGGCCCAAAATTATGGCAGTCCCACCCCATTCTAAAATGTGAAAAACTATTCTAATAGTTTTATATAAAACGCAGCAACAAAATCCGCACATGTAGGACACCCAACATTAGAGGTGATTAATTCTTCCAAAGCAAATACACTTTTGCACACTGGTACTGACTAGTATTCCAGTGTTTCTCTTCTCCCTCTTTTTCTCCGTCACTGAGCAAATGTGACCCCAGCGCTGATGGAAGGGGGGGTGCGCGAGGGTCAAACAAGAATGCTGTGCAGATTATCAATGTTCTCCTTATCAACTGATGATGTCATTGTTTGTCAGGACGCTGGCAGCTAGACGGTCATAATGGCGCACAATGAAAACCCTTGGCTTTGTGAAACTAAAAGGCAGGCTTGTTCCACCCACAGACCTGTATACAAGTTTTGGGCAATTTGTAGACATTTTGCCAAGGCACCCCTGAAGAAACCTCAAGGCACCCAGGTTAAGAAAGCCTGTTATAAAGTATAGGCATAAACCTGGCACACATTTTCAGGTATATTTAAAATAACTATAATTTTCCAACAAACAGGAAACTCATTATTGTGTTAATTAACTGCCTGCAGAATTCAGATGAAGGAGTCTATGATTGAAGAACTTTTGGCTGAGGTGAAACAAATAGAAGAAAAGAATACAAGATACAAGGAACGGGTATGTGTTGTTATAAAACTGTTTTTAAAAAAAAAAAAATTAAAACTTTTATATGGTTAACCACCCACTCCTTCTCATTAAACTCAATTCCTTTGGCCTCCAAGATTTGGCTGTTTCCTGGTTCCCCTCCTATCACAGCCAGGGGCGGACCGACAACTCAAGGGGCCCTCGGGCAATAGGGGATCATGAGGCCCCTGTGTCCTTGCCCAAACTCAAAAAAGCCTATGAAAAAGGTACCAGGGGCATCTCATGGGGCCCCCTACTGACCCTGGGCCCTCGGGCAGTGCCCAAGTTTCCAAATGGTCAGTCCACCCCTGATCACAGTGCACCTTCATTGTTACCTACAACTCTGTCTCCTCCTCTCCACTTCCTCTCTCTGTAGGAGTCCCCCAAGGCTTTGTTCTTGGACTCCTTCTCTTCTCTATCTACACTTCCTCTATTGATCACTTGATAACCACCCATGGCTTTCAATACCATCTCTACGCTGATGACACCCAAATGTATCTTTTTACTCCTCACTTCACTCATTCACTCTCCTCTCGCATTACCAACTTACTAACTGATATATCAACATGGATGTCGCACCACTTCCCTGAACTAAATCTTTCTAAAACCGAGCTGATAATATTCCCCCAACCACCCCCCCCCCCGCTCATGCCCTCCTCCATGACTTTTCCATCAAGATTTATAATATAAACACCAGTCCCTCCCCTCACGCCAGGGTACTAGGTGTACTCCTAGACCTATCGTTTCGGCCCCAAAGAAGGGCTGCTTTTACCAACATGGGGACACACAGGAGTTCTGTCCATCCCCTTGCAGGCTCATTGATGTCAATTGGGACACAGTAGACACAGCTGATGCTCCCAATCTGACATCCATGTGGGTGGAGATGCATGGCCCCAAAAGCGGACAGTATGAGTTTAGGGACATGCCATGCACCTACATGGATATCAAATGCCACTACTTTCGGGGGCCCCGAAAGCAGACAGTATGAGTTTAGGGACATGCCATGCACCTCAAATGCCACTGCTTCCCAATTTACATCAATGGGGCTGCCTGTACAGGAATACAGGGAACACCTGTGCATCCCCGTGTGGGTAAACATGGCCTTGCATGGGTGTACACTGTAATGTGTCCGTTGTGAATGAGGCCTTACTGTATTTTTTTTTCTTCAATTGTATTTTATTTATATTTTTTGCAATTTTGCTTTTTTACAGCCCTATTTGGGATCTTTAGTGAGATATCTGGGGTTTTAACAGACAGTCAGACAGAGAAAGGTACTGAGAATATACCGTAGAGTCCTCAGTCCTTTTCTTTGCAGCCTCAGCAGCGCTGCATGTGAATGAATAGGAGCGCTTTGTACAGAGACTCCTATTCATTCACAAACTGAAGCATAACAAACACAGTTTACTCTGCTTCACTGATGAATGAACACAAGAGCGAATCTGTGTTCATTCATGAAGGGGTTGGTGAACATGACATGTTTTCAAGCCATCCCCCAACCCCTATCCTGACACCGATCTCCCGATATAGCCAGCTTAAGAGGGAACTTCCCCGTTATTTGGAGAGACTTGCTCGTTGTGAGTCTGGGATAGGATGTAGAGAAATGTCCCCACACAAACAAACATGAAAATAAAACTGAAGAGGTTTTGTATTAAACAGAAATGGTAGCTGGTGGCTTGTATGATGATGGTGATTACACCGCTTTCATTGAAAAAATAATATAGCATGTAAAAATGCTACAGAAGCCATATTTTGCTGGTTTTAAAATTAATTTTCTAATCTGCAGCTGTTCTAATGTTCTAAAACTCTCCAAAAATTAATGTTAACATGGCAACCTGGTAAGTGTACAAAATGTCCTCAGAAATTTAATTTCCTGCTTGTGTGATTGGTTCATTGATTTTCTGCACAGATACAAGTAACATTTTAGGCATCACCTACAATAGGAACTTCATTTTTGGTGAGCTATTCCCAAAGGCTTGTCTACATGTGGGGATCTCTCCAATTCATCTAGATAAAACCAATTCTGTTTTTGCATCCAGAATGAACGTCTAAAGGCCGAGCAGACGGGACATGTCAAGGAGCTGCTGAGTGACGCCAAAGCCCAGGAACGGGAACTGGCTAAGAAGGAGATTGTCAACCGGGAAGAAGTAGACGAGCTGATGAAAGAGAAATGGGATTTTATACGGCAGAAGGAGAATTTGCTGGAAGGTACAACAAATATATCCACAAAATATGTGTTTTGTTTGTAATGTTAGAGAGAACATGCAGTTCTTTTACACAGCCTGAAGGACAATACCTTCATGAGACCGTGCCCTCAGATGTCTGAAAGTGCACTTTGTATCTAGTAGGAGTGCAACTTTTCTACAGTGGGACAGGCAGATGTCCCCACAAGCACTTGGAAGCACTCTGGGGTATCCCATGACACCAGCAATCCAGGGCCATGGCACAATGAGGGTGGAGGATCTGGTCCCATCCAGCCTGGAGGACCTGGAAGTGGTTGCACCTTGATTGCCTAGTATAGATACACCAGTGGTGGGCAACCTTTTTTTTCAACTGAGCCAAATCTCGCCAAAACCACGATTGAAATTTATTTTGAGAGCCACATTTTTAAAACTGAAAATACATCCCCCATATAGTAATTCATCCCCCATAGTAATTCATCCCCCATATAGTAATTCATCCCCCATATAGTAATTCATCCCCCATAGTAATTCATCCCCCATATAGTAATTCATCCCCCATATAGTAATTCATCCCCCATAGTAATTCATCCCCCATATAGTAATTCATCCCCCATATAGTAATTCATCCCCCATAGTAATTCATCCCCCATATAGTAATTCATCCCCCATAGTAATTCATCCCCCATATAGTAATTCATCCCCCATAGTAATTCATCCCCCATATAGTAATTCATTCCCCATAGTAATTCATCCCCCATATAGTAATTCATCCCCCATAGTAATTCATCCCCATATAGTAATTCATCCCCCATAGTAATTCATCCCCCATATAGTAATTCATCCCCCATATTAATTCATCCCCCATATAGTAATTCATCCCCCATATAGTAATTCATCCCCCATAGTAATTCATCCCCCATATAGTAATTCATCCCCCATAGTAATTCATCACCCATAGTAATTCATCCCCCATATAGTAATTCATCCCCCATAGTAATTCATCCCCCCTATAGTAATTCATCCCCCATATAGTAATTCATCCCCCATATAGTAATCTATCCCCCATAGTAATTCATCCCCCATAGTAATTCATCCCCCATAGTAATTCATCCCCCAAACTCATAAGTTGACGTGTCATATGACCAAAACACTTAGCCGTCACTTTATATCCTCCAAGTGGAGCTTGGATTCATCCCCCATATAGTAATTAATCCCCCATATAGTAATTCATCCCCCATATAGTAATTCATCCCCCATATAGTAATTCATCCCCCATAGTAATTCATCCCCCCATATAGTAATTCATCCCCTATAGTAATTCATCCCCCATATAGTAATTCATCCCCCATAGTAATTCATCCCCCATAGTAATTCATCCCCCATATAGTAATTCATCCCCTATAGTAATTCATCCCCCATATAGTAATTCATCCCCCCTATAGTAATTCACCCCCCCTATAGTAATTCATCCCCCATATAGTAATTCATCCCCATATAGTAATTCATCCCCCATATAGTAATTCATCCCCCATATAGTAATTAATCCCCCCTATAGTAATTCATCCCCCATAGTAATTCATCCCCCATAGTAATTCATCCCCCATATAGTAATTCATCCCCTATAGTAATTCATCCCCCATATAGTAATTCATACCCCATATAGTAATTCATCCCCCTATAGTAATTAATCCCCCATATAGTAATTCATCCCCCATATAGTAATTCATCCACCATATAGTAATTCATCCCCCATAGTAATTCATCCCCCATATAGTAATTCATCCCCTATAGTAATTCATCCCCCATATGATAGTAATTCATCCCCCATAGTAATTCATCCCCCATAGTAATTCATCCCCCATATAGTAATTCATCCCCTATAGTAATTCATCCCCCATATAGTAATTCATCCCCCCTATAGTAATTCACCCCCCCCTATAGTAATTCATCCCCCATATAGTAATTCATCCCCATATAGTAATTCATCCCCCATATAGTAATTCATCCCCCATATAGTAATTAATCCCCCCTATAGTAATTCATCCCCCCTATAGTAATTCATTCCCCATATTAATTCATCCCCCATATTAAGTCCCCAAGTCCCCCCTGTGTCAATTCACTTACCTTTGCTCCGCGCGTTCCTCTCGCTGTGTTCCCGTGCCGTTCTGGTCTTCAGGGCGGACTGTGAGAGGAGAGGAGTTCGTCACGCTGCCCCGCCTACATCCTGGCTGCCCCGCCTACATCCTGACAGCTGCAGAGTCCTGACTTTTGGGGCGGCCGCCCGAGAGGAGGGAGGGGAGCGGGCGCCCCGCACACAAAAGAGCCGCATTTAAGTTTGTAAAGAGCCGCATGTGGCTCGCGAGCCGCGGCTTGCCGACCACTGAGATACACCAATAGAAGTTACAGAGCCCAGATAAATTAGAGATTATTCTGTTTTTAAATGGCTTCAGGTGAACAGAAAATGTATTCATAAGTAATAGTATAAGTAAATATAAAAGTTTATCTATCTTCTGTATTTATGGCCAGTTTAGGGCAGGACATAGGCAATCTATTCAGGGTGTTGCAGAGGCAAACTAGCAACTAAATTCAATGTAATTCCCTTCACAAGTAAATCCTCTTCCAGCATAGAAAGAAAAAACTGGCCATAGCTGTCAGATTCTAATTACCTGCCAAAGGATTTGTATTTTTGTTCCTCCAGATCTAAGAAGTACGCAGCTCTGCCACATAGCACACCCCTGTTTGACAAGGACTCTTTCTCTAAAGCATTTCAGTAACACTTGCGCGTCTTGTGCATTCCCAATTTTTTTTTTTTTTGCATTGCAGCAGTTACAGTTCTATTCTAAAGCAGTTTTATTCTAAAGCAGGCACAGCCTGAGTAACGAAGCCCGTCCCCTGCCTGCATGCCGCAGAGAGAGTCTCTCGCTTTCTATGGGGATGCAGTGGACTCATTGCCGAGGTGCAACACCCCCCACATACCTATAGCTCTGCAATTAACAAAGCTCATGTTCAATGGTGATTGGAGAGTTCTTACTCAGCAATGGGGTATTGGATCTCTGCAGAGAGACCGCTGCCTCCCAACAGAGAGCAAGAAACCTTCTCTGCAGTTATTGCAGGGGGACAGGTTTTCTACTCAGGCTGTGGCTGGTTTTTAAAGAAAACAAACTGTAAGGACCCATTTACAGTGCCTTGAAAAGTATTCATACCCCTTGAATTTTTCCACATTTTGTCATGTTACAACCAGAAATGTAAATGTATTTTATTGGGATTTGATGTGATAGACCAACACAAAGGGGCACATAATTGTGAAGTGGAAGGAAAATGAGAAATGGTTTTCAACATTTTTTACAAATAAATATGTGAAACGTGTGGCATGCATTTGTATTCAGCCCCCGGAGTCAATACTTTGTAGAACCAACTTTCGCTGCAATTCCAGCTGCAAGTCTTTTTGGGGACCTACCAGCTTTGCACATCTAGAGAGGGACATTTTTGTCCTTTGTTCTTTGCAAAATAGCTCAAGCTCTGTCAGATTGGATGGAGAGCGTCTGTGAACAGCAATTTTCAAGTCTTGCCACAGATTCTCAATTGGATTTAGGTCTGGACTTTGACTGGGCCATTCTAACACATGAATATGCTTTGATGTAAACCATTCCATTGTAGCTCTGGCTGGATGTTTCGGGTCGTTGTCCTGCTAGAAGGTGAACCTCCGCCCAAGTCTCAAATCTTTTGCAGACTCTTAACAGGTTTTCTTCTAAGATTGCCCTGTATTTGGCTCCATCCATCTTCCCATCAACTGTGGCCAGCTTCCCCACAACATGATGCTGCCACCACCATGTTTCACGGTGGGGATGATGTGTTCAGGGTGAAATATTAGTTTTCCACCACACATAGCTTTTTGTTTTTAGGCCAAAACATTCAATTTTGGTCTCATCTGACCAGACCACCTTCTTCCACATGTTTGCTGTGTCCCCCACATGGCTTCTCGCAAACTAAAAATGAGACTTCTTATGGCTTTCTTTCAACAGTGGCTTTCTTCTTGCCACTCTTACGTAAAGGCCAGATTTTTGAAGTGCATAACTAATAGTTGTCCTGTGGACAGATTCTCCCACCTGAGTTGTGGATCTCTGCAGCTCCTCCAGAGTTACTACAGGCCCCTTAGTTGCTTCTCTGATTATTGCTCTGCTTGTCCGGCCTGTCAGTTTAGGTGGACGGCCATGTCTTGGTAGGTTTGCAGTTGTGCCATACTCTTTCCATTTTCGGATGATTGATTGAACAGTGCTCCGGGAGATGTTCAAAGCGTTGGGATGTTTTTAATAACCTAACTCTGCTTTAAAATTCCCCACACCTTTGTCCCTGACCTGTCTGGTGTGTTCCTTGGCCTTCATGATGCTGTTTGTTCAGTAATGTTCTCTAACAAACCTCGGAGGGCTTCACAAAACAGCTCTATTTATACTGAGATTAAATTACACACAGGTGGACTCTATCTACTAATTAGGTAACTTTTGAAGGCGCTTGGTTCCACTAGATTTTAGTTAGGGATATCAGAGTAAAGGGGGCTGAATACAAATTCACGCCACACTTTTCAGATACCTATTTGTAAAAAATGTTGAAAACCATTTATCATTTTCCTTCCACTTCACAATTATGTGCCACTTTGTGTTGGTCTATCACATGAAATCCCAATAAAATAAATTTACGTCTTTGGCTGTAACATGACAAAATGTGGAAAATGTCAAGGGGTATGAATACTTTTTCGTGACACTGTACACCCTTGTGTTGTGGTAACATACATGTTACCATAACGTGAAGCAGCACATTTCAAGCATTACTACATTGCAATGCCATTCATTTTGAATGGTACACCATAAGGCAACGCATCTTTGTTGCAGCACACCACAATGCATAATGCTCATTAATGCACCACAAGATTGGAAAGGGGCAATAAGACTCTGCACATCTTTTGTTTATTTCACCTGATTTAAACTAAAAGTTCAGTTAGGCTTTAAAAGATGCACTTGCTGATGTTTT